TGAGCCATCGCGCCCGGCCCATCACTTAGTTGTTGAAAAACCCAAGTTATTGGTCCCGCAGACTACGCTATGTTCTGGATTTCGCTAATTGCATCCCCATGGAGCTTTAATATGTCCCTCTATACCCTGTATTTCCTATGAACTGGTAATGGATCTAAAGACTTATCCAGTTAAATTTTAATTTCTTTGGCCAGGACACTTCCCGTCCCATCACTCAGGAGGCCCTAACGTCTGATCGTCTCCCTTTCTCTACCTTGAGACTGAGCAGCAGGTGCAGGTGTTACCCCAGAGCTGTGCTTCGCTGCTCACCCTGTGCAGAGCCCTGGGCAGGGCCACACCTCACTCAAGGGTCGCACTGTGTTGTATGCCCAGGGAATAAGAAGCCACTTCAAGTTACTTAGTTATTCTCGATATTTTTAAATTTCAGTCTCAAATAGAATACAATTTCATCTAATTTATAAAAGTTAATACAGATACTGCCACCTCAAAGTAATCAATCCAACATTTACTTGGCCCATTAATAGGACATATTATAATTTCATATTTAAGTGTACATATTTTACAACATTCATATTAGAAATAATCTGTCATCACATAGAGATTTCAACATCGTCGTATACTTAACAAAAATGGCATGTGAAAAGTATATTATTTCTATTTTACTTAAGAGTTATTTTGCAGAATGACTTAATAGAGGGAAAAAAGATGCATATATTAGTATGCAAGTGATTTTTGGATAAGGATTATGTAAAAATAATCATGGAATTGGGGACAAGATGTTTCAGTCATGACAGCAAGGAGAGAATGTTATAAAACCATGGTTTTGCAAACTCTTCGTGTGGAAAGGAAGTAGCATGGAAGGCACCAGAACTTAGCAGAACCCAGCATTCCTGGGAGCCACGGCTTCCACTTAGAGCCCAGCACAAGCACCGCAGCTGGGTCACGGTTCCAGTTTGAATACTTAAAGTACCAGTATGAAGACAAAAGCATGATCTTATCTCTAGGATGTCTGTTTATGTATTTATTTCCCCTTGAAATAAAAATGTTCTAAAGTTGCACTGTTTAATTCATTTTTCTCAACTTAGACAACACGGTTTTACATAGTCGTATTTCCAGTTCTTATACGTCTGCTTAGTATTTAAATTTGGTTAGAAAATGTGGTTATTCTTGATTTCACCAGAAGCTTTACTTTTTATTGATTATTTCTTTCAAAGAAAAATATCCAACTTCATTAGGCACTATGACTAGAAAAACAAGCATTAGTTGTGGAGAGAAAAGTAAGAATATGGCCCTTTTAATTTTGAGCCCTGCTAAGAGACCTAAATTTGGTGCTCAGGATAAAACATTGTCTGTGGTGTTTTCTTCCCATAATTACAGTATTACAGAGACTCTTTAATGTTCCCTCTTCAAATTAGAAACAATACATTGAAACCGTCTCCTAACATAGAGCCCTGATGCCAGTATTAGAGAACATATATTCAAGAACTGAATTTGTAAGTAAACCACCATTTCCCCGTGCAATGCATAGATACTACCAGTCACTAAGTATTGAGTCTAGCACAGTGTACGAGGCATGGGAATTCAGTGCCACTGGTTTTTAAACAGCTGTTTCCCCAGTTAAAGGCAACTTCTGGTATGCGAAAGTAAAATAGCTATCTTTTTACATTACTGTGCATACAGTAACATAATGTGTGAGTGTCCCAGAAGTCGGGAGACCAGTCCGTATGAGACAGCCCCTACAGCAAGCGCTTTCCTCCTCTGCGGTGACCAGCGCGAGTCCGAGAGCTGGCTCTGCTGCGTCATCAGCCCGGGTTTCAGACACACTTACTTTCTGTTAACAAAACGCACGTGGATGGGCGCCCCCGGCGTCAGGAGCCCATGGGTTTTAGCATGAACAGCTTTAGTCTGAGAAGATATTTTGATCTCAAAATGCTGAAGCAGCTAAGAAGAGAAACAGAAGGATTCAGATTAGGAACAGCGGAAAATTCACGGTGCTCCCTGAACACGTTTACTCCTCCTAAGGTGGCCCCAGGCAGCAGGGAGCCCGGGCAATGAGCACCCACGTGCAGTTTGGAGGCCACTGCACTGCTCGGCCAGCGGATGCCCACCATTTGGAAACAGAACTTCAGATCCTGTAAGGAGCCTGGCACGTCCACTGAGCAACTGCGAAGCCGGTGTGGCCGAGGCAGGCCCCATGCCCAAATGGCTTAGGTTTCATCAGCCATTTCAGAATTCCAACTCTGCTGCTTCCATGTTCGGTCTAGATAAAGACGGTATCAAAGGAGTACAGAGAGACAGGAACAAAGTGAAATCCAGGTTTCCTGCAGGTTCAGAATCTGCAGCCACTTCAGACGTGGAACAGACACAGCAGCAGGGAGAGCTGAGTCACGGAACAGGCGTCATCATGCTAATATCCTGAACTTAAATCGTCCTGACTTGTACCTTTGATTCCATTTCTCATTTCCACAGTTCAAAAGCAGAACCATCCCTGGGTCCCGGAGTAAAACTGGAAAGTACCTGAACAGTGAGTCTGGAAGAACACCGAGGTATCCATCGCCCTGAAGCCATAACCTCCCCCACCAACTGGCCAGGGCGGGATGTTCGGTCAGCCTAGGGAACAAAGCCGACCTGCTCTACAGATTTCTGCCAACACACAGACTCCTGGAGGCGTGGGAGGGCCTTGCTTTCAGCCCATTCGGACAGCGCAGGCGGCAGACGAGCCGTGGGCTTCTACCTCGGACCCACTGTCCCTGCCCGGCCCTGCCCTGCCCTGCCTCTCTCTCCAGCCTCCTCTCCCAGGTGAAGAAGCAGAACCCAAGAGGGGCTGGGGCTCCAGGATGGAGTCGGGCAGGAGTCAGGTCAGGGCTGCAACAGGGACGTGTGCTGAACACACCCCTTTGTCGCTGTGAAAGAACCGAGCTGAAAGGCGTGTCAGTAGGTGGCCCCAGAAGTGCCTGTATCCAGGTGGCTCCGTCTAAACATCTAACCTCTGACCCCTCTGCTGACCTCACAGAGCGGCCACTCGTTCCCACATGGCAGGAGAACGTGCACGTGGGTCTCCTAGCTTTGAGGCTGTCGTGCACTTGGCCTCTTTTCCTCTCTGAGTGGTTTGCTTGTTGAAAACACTAAAGCTGCAAAGGAGACAAACAAAAACCACAGCCCACCTCAAGTCTCTGACTCCTGGGGAGCTGGGTGAATCCTCCAGACACTCTCCTGTGCACCAATGTCACATTCCTGGTTGCGAGGCTGTCCCGCCCCTTCCCAAAGCCCACCGGCACTGTTGGGAAGATGCCATTTATTTGGTTAAGAAATAACACCTTCTGTTGAGGTGTGCTAAGAAAATTTCTTCATGACGGGGATTGAATTTTATCCGTGATCTTTTGGGTGATCTTTTGGGAGGGCCGTATCATTTTTCTCCTTTCATTTGTGATTGTGGTAAATCACGCTGACAGATTTTTCTGGTGGTAGATCAAAGGTGGCCTTGTTAATTAACTAGCTAAGAGAGGAAAGTAAACTATCTAATAGAAAGTAAGAAAAATAAACTCACAGCACATAATTGCCCCTTTGAAGAGAAAACTCACAACACAACTGCCCCTTTGTTTTGTTTGATTAAACACCTGGAGTTCAACTTGTCTTTAAGCTGAACTTGTTATCTCTAAGAGTTTGGTTTTCACAGCCTTGAGGTGTCCTAAGCAGACAGCAGGGGAGCGAACTCCCCCACCACCCCCCAGCTCTGGTCAGCACCAGATTCCAAGGACCTCTGACAAGCCGGCCTCACAGAGAAAAGAAAAAAAATTAAAAAGCACACACAACATTTTCACAGCCGTTTTCACTATCAGTTGGCTTCAGTCACTTTTATCTTTCTCTTTGTCCCCAAATAAAATCCCCAAACGTCTTATCCTCTGCACTGACACTTTTATTTCCTTCTCTTATGTCGTGCCCTTCCCACCTTTGGGAAGTAAAATAAACTTTCTTTCCTAAAAACTATTCTCCCGGTGTGAGAATTCTTTCTCCAGCCCTCACTGTGAGCTCTTCTTCGTGAGTCCTCCCCATAACATTCCGGTGGCCCCTACAGGCAAACTGAGGCACTTCTCTACCTCTGCACAAGAAGCTCACTCTTCTGCCTCTGTCTCTAACTGCTCCCTCCCCTGCAGTGCAACTCCCAGACACTCTTCTCAGTGCCTTCAATATCGTTCGCAATCTGGTGAGTCTCTTGGGCTCTGGAAGTGGTCATATGCTCAAGGTTGAGAGTGGTAGCTTTCTGGTTTGGTCTGGGATGGGAAACCTGGCGCCGTGTCTACCATTCAGGAGGGTGCCAGGGAAGGATGCTTCGTAACCACCCTTCCCCAGGGGGGAATGTGCCTTGGAGGGCCTTATGCCTCCTGCCCCCATCAGTCTTCACTGAGAGTCGGGGACACCTGGCTTAGGGGGAAGATCTCTAGGTCTTGGTCTGAGTCGGAACTTGGGGATGCCCATTTTCTGGCCACATCTCTAGGTCTCAGTCTGACTCAGATTTGGGGGATGACTGATGTCTGATCAGAATTCCAAAGGTCATCTGAGTCTGGGACACCCCTCAGACTTCCATTTTTGACATATGACCATCCCTAAAAAGTCCTTTTCTTTCTCTTAGTTTCCATCATGGGCAACATTATGTTAAAGGACCAAGAAATGTGGCCTGATAATTGATCTCTTAATCATAGTGCCATTCTGCTACTCGATCTTCCGTTGCCACTGGTTCGGCGAGCGGTGCAAAGTCCTCTATGGTCCTACAGCAGAAGGAAGCTTCTCAAATGGTGGCTACCGCAATGAGAGACGTTTTTCAGAGACACAGATACCCTAGAGGCTCAGACAAGAAGACATCAGAACCGCACCCCCATTTAGGAACTGAGCCCTGCCTCCACTATGACTCTGGGTCCTTGGAGTAAGAAATGCCCCAGGAGGTGGCCTCTGCAGGGACCCCGGGCCCATGCCCTCTCTGAAAAAGGGAGAGGCACTGGAAGCTGGCGTGCACCCATCTTCCGGAACTAGTGAGCCCCGCCGAGCCGGCACCCTCCATACCCACGGACCCAGGGGAACTGCTTCAGTCTGATGGACAGACCCCAGCTTCACAACATGCTCAATGTCATCACACCGGGATGGCCGAGCCTCAGGTAACTCTCTCTCTCTGCATCACAGTAAGCAAACTGATTTTAATAAAACTAGAGCCACTTATTCTTCCTAAATTTTCAGGACCTCTATTTCCCTCTCCTAGCTCCATTGTCAGAGTGAAAAGTAAAACACGACCCCCCTGTGTACTCCACAGCTCCTCCGCTCACTTTGCTCACTCCTTTGAGTGCTTCCCAGTCACCCCGACTGGGAAATGATCTTACGGTTAAGTTAGACACCTAACTCCTTTAACACCACAAGCTTCCTTTTTCAGGCTCTTGGAAAAGACTTAGTGTTCTCACTGAATCTAAATATACCCATCATGTCTTACACCCTTACACAGCTGTTCAGAAAAACAGGGACTTTTCACTGCTCCAGGTACTTCTGCCGAACATGCTAACCTTATCATAAAACTCACACAGGCAGCTCTTCTCCTCATTCGGGGAGTTCCAGAATTACTGTTTGGGTTGAAAATCTCAACCATTTGGGAGAGTAGGACTGTTTGCATTTGGCACTCCCTGGCTTATTTTTTAAGCTACAGTCAATTTGGTGTATGTCATGTGTACACACTGGGAATCTTCTGACTCTGCTGTTTGGGCTTTTATGCTATTTGGACCTAGGACGGGTCATTTGCAATATTGGTCTGAGGTAAGATTCTTAAAAACTTCTCTTATTTAGTGTTCCCAGACTTGCATTTGAAACCTCTTAAATTTCTGTTCTTGTGCACATGTTTAAACTGATGGGTAAAGTACATCAAAAATATTCAGAACTCAAATGATCAATCTGCCACAATAGGGTTAAAATAAAAAGTTTATGAAATTCTCTGTCTCTGTTTTCTGGTCTGCCTGCTTGAAACTACTAAGTTACTGGTGTTGAGATAACACTCACTATCTCTGTTATCACTAACTCAAGGTTACTTGAAGCAGCCAGTTTTGGTAGCAGTGTGAGCATTAAAAACTCATTGGGGCCAGGTGCAGTGGCTCACGCCTGTAATCCTAGCACTCTGGCAGGCCGAGGCAGGTGGATTGTTTGAGCTCAGGAGTTCGAGACCAGCCTGAGCAAGACCGAGACCCTGTCTCTACTAAAAAATAGAAATAAATTAGCTGGACAACTAAAAAAATATATAGAAGAAATTAGCTGGGCATGGTGGCGCATGCCTGTAGTCCCAGCTACTCAGGAGGTGGAGGCAGTAGGATCACTTGAGCCCAGGAGTTTAAGGTTGCTGTGAACTGATGCCACGGCACTCTAGCCCAGGCAATAGAGTGAGACTCTGTCTCAAAAAAAAAAAAACTTATTGGAAATTGAAGAAAAAGGTAAAAGAACCCTTGTGGTTCCCTCTTCTATCCCACCTCTACTCTAACTTTTAAAGACTGTCCGTTTTCAGCCCCTCCCCGTTAATGATGCACATGAACTCTCACAGGTATGGACTGCGCTTTGTCCCAGGTCAGCAGGAAGTAGCTCCAGAAAATAAGATCTTCATCCAAATTCTCCAGTTTCTGAGTTCATTAAATAGAAATTTTAATTTTCACCAAAAAGAAGGGGGGAATAAAAGGTGGCCTTGTTAATTAACTAGCTAACAGAGGAAAATAAACTAACAGAAAGTAAGAGAAATAAACTCACAGCACATAATTGCCCCTTTGAAGAGAAAACTCACAACTGCCCTTTGTTTTGTTTGATTAAACACCTGGAGTTCAACTTGTCTTTAAGCTGAACTTGTTATCTCTAAGAGTTTGGTTTTCACAGCCTTGAGGTGTCCTAAGCAGACAGCAGGGGAGCGAACTCCCCCACCACCCCCCAGCTCTGGTCAGCACCAGATTCCAAGGACCTCTGACAAGCCGGCCTCACAGAAAAAGAAAAAAAAAAATGTAAAAGCACACACAGCAATTTTTTGCTATCAATTGGCTACAACCACTTTTTTCTTTCTCTTTGCTCCTAAATAAAAACCCCAAACCTCCTATCCTCTGTGCTGACACTTTCATTTCCTTCTTCCATGTCGTGTCCTTCCCACTTTTGGGAAGTAAAATGAACTTTCTTTCCTAAAACTATTCTACTGCTGGTGTGAGACTCCCTTCTCCAACCCACACCATGCGCTCGTGAGTCCCACCCTAATGGTAGCCGACCCTGGTATTCCTGAGCACGCCTCACTGGGTGAGGCCTTCTGGCTTGACACACTCCTGCATTCAGCTTGCCAGTCTTTCATTTAGGTTATTTTTCGTCTTTGTTAATAAATCAAATTGGCTTGTGGCTTCCTTCTTCATGTTATCCTGTCCAGGTTTGAATATCAAGGATGTGCAAGACTCACAGAATGAGACTTCCTCTCCTCTGTGTAGGATGATGATTACCCGTTCATTTAAGGTTGACAAAACCTGCCAATAAACAGTGTAGGTCTGGAACATTTCGGGAGTAGATCTTTTTACCATTGACACCTATGTTAGGTCTGTTCTCTTTCCTTTGAGTCAATTTGGGTAATTTATATTTTTTCTAGTAAATTAAATATTTTATCTAAGTCTTGAAATTTATTGGCAAAAAGCTGTTTGAGGTATGTTCTTGATTTTAAAGAAGTCACCTACTGCATTTGTAGCTGTCTCCTTGTTCACTCCCAGTACTATTTGTGCTTTCTCTCTTTTTATCTTGACAATTAAAAATAATTATGCTCCCTTTCTCTACTTGCACAGGTAGAAATGAGGACTCCTCAAGGAAAAACTTTAGTGGTACCTGTACAGCCTACAAAACCCCATCACCAGCTCCAAACACCCCATTTCTAACCTCCTCCAAATCCGCCCTCTGCAGGAGCACAGGCCGGCCTCTGGCTCGTGGATACGTCCCTGGTTCTTCGGGCGGGCAGAGCCTGGTTCACTGCAGATGCACTGCCTGCCTCTCGTGGTGGACTGCCTCGCCTGTCCTTGAGGTGGCTGCGAAGATACAGCAGGAATCTGGGGAGCTGAGACCTTCCCGATAACACTCCCTGAGTGCAGGTGCCCAGAGGACAAGAACAGCTTCTACTTCTTCAGCACAGACTCTGCACATCAACTGTTTTTATTCCTCACACACCTGTGAGGCAGGGCTTTGGCCCCTTTTGTGGGTGACGGGCTCAGAGTGACTGAGAAACCCACCCAAGGTGCTGGAGCCAGTGAACAGCAGTGCTGGGCTCGGAGCTGGTTTGCCCGGAGCTCCTTCCGTGCCACAGCAAGCTGACCTCACATGGACCCAGGGACACATCCCCACATAGGTGGGGCAGCTGCTTGATCCCACCAGCCGATCCTGGCAGAGCCTTCCTGGGCCGCCTGTGCTCCCCAACCAGAGTCAGTCCTGGGCCAATGGGCCGCTCTCCCCACGCTTCCTTCTGTGCCTCCATCCCAGGCCACAGCCCTCACCTCCTCCAGCTCTGGAGCCCACCCCAGGCCTGGCCACCTGGAATCCCTCTCCCCCTCCTCCCTGCCGGCCAGCCTTCACTGGTCCCTTATGTCCCTCATGCCATGCTCCCTGGTAGCTTTTATGCTCCCTAGTGTTTAAGGACCCTCATCTGACGCCCTCCCAGGCCCCTCTCTCCTCACTCCACACATGACAGCAGGAGCGCTGGGCTCCAGGCCCTGGGGACCCGCATGACACACACACTTCCCAGACCTTCAGGCCCCTCATCTCCACCTCTGCCCACAGGACCCCAGGGAAGACAAAAAGAAGCGGGGGCCATGGGGGGAAGGTGCCTACTGCTGGGTAGTGATCTCAAATATGAACGGATTCAATGCAGAGGTCTTGCTTTTAAATTTTCAAAACCAAGTTTTCTTTCTTAACCTGAACGTCTTGATCCAGTTGAGCCCAGTAAAAGAGGCCGAGCCCACAGCCAACACTTGACCTCCACGTCCTACCTGGATCACGACAAGGTGAATCTCCAGCTCTGCGATTCTCCGCCCGATGCAGCTACGAACCCCGTAACCGAAGGGGATGGACCCAAAGTTGTCAACTCTGCCCGGGTTTCCTCTCCGCAGCCAGCGCTCTGGCCGGAACTCCTTGGCCCGAGGGAAGTTCTCATCCTCGTAGGACGTGGCGTAGTGGCAGAGGGCCAGCTGGGTCTGAGGAGACCATGTGCAACAGAAAAGGAATAGAGAATGGGGTGGCGTGAAAGCAGAGCAGTGGCCAACGCCCTGGCTGGCCAGGCCCTCTGAGATGCGCCGGCCTGGGGAAGCCGCTTAAGGTGCTCACACCCGGGACAGCAGCCCCTCCCGCCCTTCACACTTCACAGCCCGCCCTGATGACAGTGCAGCCGCTGACAAGGCCAGTCAAGCCCCTCGGAGACTCTCCAGAAGAGGGCCTGGCCCGCGGGCTACAGAGTATCTGCTTTGTCTGGGAGCAGTAAGAGCACACAATTCCCTCCTCCTAAACCCCACTGCCATCACAAAATACACAAGAGGAAAAGCAGCTCTGCTGATCTTTGCTTGGGGACAAAGACTTCCTGAATGTGCAAGCAGGTTTCCTTCCAGTCTAGCCACCACTGCAGCCCAGTCCCCCCCCCACGGCCACCAAACTCACGCCTTTGGGGATCAGATACCCGCCAATAACCAGGTCTTCCTGGGTGACACGGCCATTCCCGGGGAGCACTGGAAACAGCCTGCAAAGAGCGACGGGAACAGGAATGGAGTGGTGACTTCAAGAATATTTTGTTAAACATTTAGAGATCTGAATATATTGCCATTTCCACTAAAAATTCTTAAAAAGTAACACATGGTACAATTTCAAGCAAACAATTTTGCAAAGACCTCTGTGGTTCCTTAGACAGCTATGCCAGCCGGCATTCCTAGGTGTGCAGAAAAGGTACCAAAGTCAAAACAGTTTGCAAAACACAAAGAAAATCTTTAACACGCCATTGTATTCCCGGGGGGGAATTCTGTTTCTGACATTTTATGTGACTATGGAACCACTTTATCAAGGCATAGTCATAGGACTTAGGGTCCCGTGAAATACATCTGGAGGACGACACTTCAGCTATGGGATTGTCTCAGAGAGCTGACCCCAAGAAAACTGAGTAAGACTTTAAATGACAAATACCAATAAACCGCAAGCCGGCTCCATTTCTTTCCTACTTTGAGCTTACACAGCATGCTGTAGATTGAGGACGCAACACAGACTGAAGCACCATTATCAAATCAGGTGTGACAGCATGCTTTCAGTACATACTATGGAGAATAACCTTCGCTTTGTCACGCATTTCCTCATGGAGGGATGCTGCGTTTAGGTTCACTGAACTGCGAAGGGGAAGAAATTTCCTTGGCCCCCTAATCCCACCTCCCACTCAAATCATCCCCCACCCAGGACTGCCATGTCCCTCCAGCTCTTCCCACTGCCACTAAAGCACTGTGCAGGAGTCAACGAGCCTCGCTGTGTGGCGTTCCCAACCTTGACTAAGCCATTCACACAGAACCACCAGGTTTTGTCAACGGGTCTGGAAATTAGCCAAACAGCCCAGAGTATTTTCCTCACAAACGGATCTTGTTCCGTGTTATCTTCAGAGAAACAAGGTCAGAGGGTGCTGACCCAGGAACGTACTGGGAACACTGGATGAAGCACTTGGCTAAAGCAGGGACAATGTTAAACGACTGCTCCGAAGATCTTTATGAAGAACAATGAATACTTCAGCAGCAGAAAGGCCACTGGAAATGGCCAAGCAGGGAGGAAACAAGAATAGCCACGAACATCCTCTTCCTAAACAGTGCAGCACCAAGGGCAGTTGGAGGATCTGTTATGATAAAGAATCAGGGACTTCAAGGACACATTTTGTTGACACCGATTCGGGTGAGCCTTTTACCTCAGGGTTTCCTTAAGGAGAGCTCTGACTAGTGGGACTCTGGGGACGTCTGCTGCTGTTGGAACATGCCTTTCCCCCAAATTCTTCACTATCTCCTGGTACACCATCTGCTGCACTTCCGGGTGCCTTGCCAGGAGATACACTGCCCAGGACAACGTGAACGACGTCTAATGGGAGAAAGCGGCAGACACGGGCACATGGGTGAGCAACACCAGGGAGTTGAACAGCAGGTGACATCCCCACGAAGTCCCTGGGAATTTGTGCAGGTGCAAAATTGTACTCGCACACCGCTATTGCAGCGCTTCATGTCTAACCAAAACAGAAGAGTCTTTTTCTTAATTCACGCCAGGAAAACCAAACCACTATTTTTGGGAAGTTACAGCAACTCTATGATTCAAGTGCTCTTGTTATGAATAGCCACAGAAAAGTTATTGTGGAACTTCTTTTGATCACTTAAGAGCAATATGCTTCCTCTTCAGTGGAGCCCGAGGGATGCCAGGGAGTCGCTGGTCGGTCCTGGAAGTTCTGCAGGAACTTCATGAGACCTCTTTGCAGGGGTCACCCATTTCTGCTAGAAAGGGCCTCAGGCTGCCCACTGGCGTCCCACAGGCCCAGGACGGCTGGGCTCACCCACTCTGGCTTCCCTGATCTAGAGATCAGGCACATGCAGATCATTAGTTAGCCATCGTGCCCGTGCATTTATCAAGTAAAGGGAACACAGAGTGGTTGACTAGCTCATTTGTGCAAAGCAGTGTCATTTTTCAAACAGCACTTAGACTGAAGAATCGCATTTCCAGTTAGTGAGAATAATTTTATTTTATTTTCCTAGGTCCCAAGATTTTCACTAAAATCAATGCTATCATTTGTGGGACTATATTTCACTTTATTGTAAAGAAGAAAATTCCATGGTATAAATGCTCCCTTTCTTTCATCAAAAAAACGTAACTTAAGTAGACCATATTGATAGCATTTCCTTATAATGGATGCTACGTGTTTATAGAGGGCAGGCTCTCCTGTAATATATAATCTATAACATAATGTGTAAGCTCTTACTTGTAAATGATAAGGAGGTCATTTAGATGATTTCTACTAGGAGAACAGACAAATTTATGTTAAAATCACATTTTTATGGAAAAACAAAATGTGATATAGCCACACAATGGAATACTACTCAGTAACTAAGAAAATAATCAATTACTGTTACATGCTGCCACGTGGAAGACTCTCAGTCATTCTGCTGAGTGAAGGAAGCTAGATGCAGAAGAATACATACCGTATAATTCCATTTACATAAGTATTTAGAAAAACGTGGTGGTGGGTTCATAAATGATTGCATCTGTCAACAGTCTGTATCGAATTGTACAGATTAAATGGATGCAGCTGATGGTGCATAAATTATACTGCAATATAGCTGATGTTTTTAAAAGTCAGAATGAAGTCGTAAAAATTTGTCTCCTGGCTTCCATCCTAGGCTGCTGAAGGAGAACAGAGCCCTTCTGAACTCCACCTCGCTGTGATGCTCTTAGTTACCACCAGGGGGCAGCAGATTCAACTGTGTCCAAATCTGCCATGCCACAAGGTCACAAGGCTCCTCCATTCGGGTGGTGACTTAATTTGAACAAATCCACACCATCCATCACATTTATACAGTGAATTAGAATTTTCGTTGATTGTATCATTCGGTTTATAGTTAATTTATATATATTTTGTTTTATTGCTGTAGAAGATCCATAAGAATAGAGTTTATACTTTTTTTTGCCTTTACATGTTTAAGTGACATTGTAATAAAAATAATACATCAACACTGGGGGGTTTTGTCCCTTTAAAAGGGAGGCCTGTGCCTCAGTTGAGGTCAGGAAGCACTGGTGCAGAGGAAGAGCTTCCAGGTGAGGAGGCTGCCTTGGTTTCTCCGCCTTGGAACGGAGGCAGTGACCCGCCTCTGAAGCGGCTGGGCTGGGTGCGGGCGGGCAGTGAGCACACGAAGTCCTGGTGCTTACCTCCCACCCAGACCTCCGCAGTTATGCTGACGCTATAAAATGAACTGAGGAAGAATTAAATGAATCACTGGCTTTATCAAATGAATTCTATGGCCTAGAATATTTTAAATGATAAATAATAAGGTTTTTAATGTCTATGCCCTCTTCATATCTGACATGATGAAACAATGGACAAAATGTTTGCAAATCAGGGATGATTTTTGAACGTCAAAACTTAAGCCAGGCACAGTAGCATGCACCTGTAATCCCAGCTACTTGGGGAATTGTGGAATAATGAAATTGTGGTTATACTTTTCACAGAAATCATTGTGCACCTTAATTATACATTTTACATGCAGTCGTGCGCTGCTTAACGATGTTTCTATCAATGATGGACTGCATGTACAACAGTGGTCCAATGAGGTTATAAACCCCGTTTTTACTGTACCTTTCCTATGTTTAGATACACAAACACTCCTGGGTTACACCTGCCCACAGTACTCGGTACAGTGACCTGCTGTGCAGGTGTGTAGCCAGCTGCAACGGGCCACAGCACGTAGCCTAGGTGTGCAGCAGGCTACGCCATCTAGGTTTGTGCAAGTGCACTCAGATCGCTCACCGACGCCTTGCTCAGAACGTATCCCCGCCGTTAAGCGACACGTGACTATATGTGTAGTGTTTTCTCCTGGAGACTTCGGCAGTGAAGCAAGCCGAGTACACACGCGTACAGGCTGCTTAAAGTATGTGCCTTAAAAGGAGACAAATTCTGTCAGCTTATGAGGCTTGTTTGCTGGGAAACAAGGTCCCCACAGGCTCACCGTGTCGACGCCGGCCAGCAGCATCTCGGTCACGTTGGCGTAGATCTCCTCGAGCGTCAGCGCCTGGCTAAGGAAGAGGTACGTGAGAAGTCCCCCTCTCACGCTCTGGCCTCGGTCCGTTTGGTACTGTATGTCCCTCAACTTGTTGTCAACGTGAATTTGGCCTGTTTGAAAACGGTATTTCTTTTGAAAAAAGTTTGGGCTGGGAATAATCTTTTCAGTCTCAACCCCCTTTGTCCTCCCAGCAACTTAACTAAGCCAGTGGCAGGTGGCAGGGGCTAAGGGAACCCAGAGTTATCTGTTGTCAACCTTGGGACTTCATTCATACAGCTGCTTGTGTAAATGAATGAGAAGTCAAAAGACAAGCTAAGCATTTCTTCCTTTTTAAAAATAATCTATAAGATATTTGCAAATGTCTGCTTTACTACTCCAATAGCCAAAAAAGTTATTTATATAATGTGAAGTCACAAGAACGTAGATTCCTTTATTTTTTCCACTATTCTTCCAGAAGAGAAAATGAATGGAGGAGAAAAGGCCATGTATTATCTGAGATGTTACCACAAAAAGACACAAGCACATTACGTACATCAGGACGTGCTATTCAAATGAATGTTGACCTTGAAAAGACACGATGGGACACTTCTTTCAAGGTTAGCATTGTTCTAGAACATTGTTATAAGTATTTTGGAAATCATTCTTTTTCCTTTTTGGAAATGCTTTCATAATATAATAAAATTTTTAGTCACATAAGAAAACTAATCTTCTTACTTTGTAGTCTCATCTTGGGTTTGAAAAAATTGTAGGGTCCAAATGAATGTGTTTGGGCCTCAAACTCTATCTACATCTTAAGCATTGACAGATTTATTGTACTAATAGCATCATCACCCATGGACATTCACTTGTGTATGTCTCAGCTAGAATAGCTGTTAAAATAAAAAATTTAAAAATGAAAAATAGATCACATTACTTGTAGACACAACATACATGCTTTTTGCTTCTTTGAAAAACACATCTGAAAGTTATGAGTCCAAATAACAACGTGCAACGACGTCTGGGCATCGTCTGCCACAGTCTGGAGGAGTTAGACACACAACACACGGTAAAGTTAGGTCAACCTCTTACACAAAAGGTGCCCCTAAATTCTTCTCTTACTGAATCTGAAGAGTCCATCCCAGGACCTGCAGAACTCTTGCCAGGGTTTTGGGATGAAGGGACGAAGCCATCTGGGGATGGCACCTGCGTACATGGAGGTCTTGAACATGCTGAACATGAGCTCCAGGGCCTTGATGTACTCCACGGTGGGCTGGGGGACACTGTTTTCCAGGCAGCCCAAACGACTCTCATACAGGATAGTGGCCACTCCTAGGTGGGAAAGAGAATTTAAAAACCCTCTTCTTCTAGATTATTTACCATATCAACATGCGCTATCTGGCCATAAAAGTAACTTTCTTTTATTATCATTATTGTTTTTTAATTGAGATAGGATCTTACTATGTTGCTCAGGCTGGGCTCGAACTCCTGGGCTGAAGCCATCCTCCTGCCTCAGCCTCCCAAGTAGCTGGGACTACAGGCATATGCCACTGCACCCAGATAAAAGTAACTTTCAAAAGAAGTCCAAGCCGGGCACAGTGGCTCACTCCTATAATCCTAGCACTCTGGAAGGCTGAGGCAGGAGGATCTCCTGAGCTCAGGAGTTCAAGACCAGCCTGAGCAAGAGTGAGACCCCGTCTCTACTAAAAATATAAAAAATTAGCCAGGCGTAGTGGTGCGCACCTGTAGTCCCAGCTACTCGGGAGGCTGAGGCAGGAGGATCGCTTGAGCCCAGCAGTTTGAGCTTGCAGTGAGCTAGGATGACACCACTGCACTCTAGCCCGGGCAACAGAGCGAGCCTCTGTCTCAAAAGAAAAAGAAGTCTAGGTGCCTTTTGTGAGAGGCATCACCACTCTGAGGTTTCCTCTGTCCCGAGCTATAGGGAGCCAGGCATTGGGGGTTGATGGGTGACAAGACCTGACTGGTGCTGGGTAATGTGCACCGTGCAGGCAGGTTAACACTCTCTGCTTCATCAAAGTAGCTCCACAGCCCTGGGAGACACACGTTAAGAAGCCCACTCTTGGCCAGGCATGGTGCTGACACCTGTAATCCCAGCATTTTGGGAGGCCAAGGCAGGAGGATTGTTTGAGCCCAGGAGTTTGAGACCAGCCTGGGCAACACAGCGAGACTCTGTCTCTACAAAAAATATAAAAATTAGCTGGGCATGGTGGTGCAAGCATATAGTCCTAGTTACTCAGGACATCTGCAGGCTGAGGCAGGAGGCTCGCTTGAGACGAGGGGTTTGTGATTACACCACTGCACTCCAGCCTAGGCAACAGAGTGAGATCCCTTCTCAAAAAAAAAGAAAGAAAGAGACTCTCAGCAGGAGATTAGAAGATTCCGGGAGTTTATGTAGTTGGCTAAGGCTGTACAGGAAGAGGCAGGAGGAGGCCGGGACAGGACTGAGATCAGGTCTGAGACAACCGGCCTCCAGGGAAGGCGAGACCTCGGGCCTGCCCCTGCCCTGCTCCCACAGCCTCCTCTCTGGAAGGAGGAAGCAAAACCCCAACAGGGCCCCTTCCTGCCCTGGCCACCGGGGACAACCTGTCAGCCACTGGCCAACCTCGGGAGCTGAAATGTGGCTCCTCCTGGCCAAAGAGGGGAGCCCAGGCCCAGAGAGCTGCAGGCTGAGGAGACCATCAGGGAAGCCGCGGAGGCAGCGCCGCCCCTGTGCTTACCGTCTGCGCCCCTGACCATCCGGAACGAGGTTCCGAGAACATTAATATTAGAACTCTGAAATGTTAGCCTGATTTAAATTTGAAAGTAAACTCATTTTTTAAGAACGATGAGAAAGCTGTTAGAGGGTCCTCCAAGATATATTTTTAAGAAAAGAAAAAAACAAGGTACAGGACAATATGTTCGGTGTGCTGCTGCCTATTTTTTTAAAAGTAAAAAGAATATTCATGTGCCTATTTCCTTACACATGCATAAAACATTTCCTTGCACATACATAAAATATGTCTTGGCAGATACATCAGAAACTGGTGACCTTAGCCTCATTCAGGAAAGAGGGAGAATTTTCACTGAATACCTTTTGGTTTCGATATTTGAACCATGAGAAAGTACTACCCACTCAACATGAATTTAAAAGCTAGGACAACTTTGTAGTAGATGCCCTCTAACCTTTGTTCCTCTTTAAAAATTATGCTAGGCCGGCCGCAGTGGCTCACTCCTGTAATCCTAGCACTCTGGGAGGCTCAGGCAGGAGGATTACCTGAGGTCAGGAGTTTGCGACCAACCTGAGCAAGAGCGAGACCCCATCTCTACAAAAAATAGAAAAATTAGCTGGGCGTGGTGGTGCATGCCTGTAGTCCCAGCTACCCAGGAAGCTGGGGCAGGAGGATCACTTGAGCCCAAGAGTTCCAGGTTGCAGTGAGCTACAATGACTCCACTGCACTCTAGCCTGGATGACAGAGAAAAATCTTGTCTCAACGACAACAAAAGATTATGCTAAAACAAAATATGTAGTAATTGGGAACATGGATGCTTGAGTTAAAAAGACCTGGATTGGAAACTAACTTTCTGCCTCTAAAACAGGGTGGGGGTGGAGCCTTGAGCAAGCTCTTTTTAAGTCCCAGGTACCACTGGGAAAGCAGTGGTGGCACGGCTGGCTCACGTGAGCGCCACAGGGCACGCATGTTACATCCCAGGAAACCGCGGGTCCCGACAAGCGTCCATTCTTCCATCTCTCCCGTCTCCCGGCTCCACCCACCTTCCATTGAATATTTGAAGAAAAGGTCATTGACATTGGTCACAGTTTCTCCGTCTTCTGCCTGGCTCCTGAGGATGTAGATTCTTTTAATTAAATCAGCAATAACCTGGTTGACTTCTCCAGAAAAAATGGCCACATCTTTTGGCTTCAGAATTCTCCGTCTCAGTACACTTCTCATTTTGAGCCACCGTTCGCCCTCCCTAGAGGAATAAAGTGAATTTCAAATAATCTTACTAACAACACTGACGTTCTGGGGAAGAATTCAAGGAACGTCTGAGAAAATTTTATGAAGGATCAACAAGATCTGTCAATCAAAATGGAATTAAGACATTAAAGACTCTGCCGGGGAGAGGAATGACAGCCGCAGCCCTGGGCCTGGCAGAGCTTCCGCTGCTGCCCTCCAGACAAGCTTTAAGGAAAAAAACCACCACTGGGAATCATCTTTAGTAAAGTATTGTCGTTTCCTTTCAAAAACCGTGAAATAATATTACAGTAAAGACATGAGACTGCTGATTAGCAAAAGAGAAAAGTTTATATATATATACGCATACATATATAAATGAATTAAGTGTTGATATGAAAAAAGAAAAAGTGACTGCAGCTTGTTGGTAGCGTGTTGGGGCCTCGGGGCTGCTGGCTACACGAAGAGGACGCCCAGTCGCCAGGCCTGGAGCGGCCCTCCCGGTGAAGGCAGGATGCCGCCTGAGTCCTGGGGCAGGTCCGGGGGTACTCTGAGCCTCGGGGGCCCACAGGAGTCACCGCCACTCAGCCACTCACCCTGTACTGCTTCCCTTGCCTCCGATCTGCTCTGGGCGGCCATGCTGAGCCAGCCAGTCCCCTGGGCCCGGACACGCCCTCTCCCTTTACTCCCCCTGCACCACGGTCACCAGCACCGCCCCACCGTGTCTCAGCTGAAGAGGGTGCCAGCCACCAGCACAGGCTCCCGAGCCTGAGGCCGCCAGAGCAGGCAGCAGAGTTTGTGCCTTAGCCTCGGCCACCGCCCTCTAGACCAGGGCATCCAGGGGGGGCTCTTTAATGATCTCCCTGAGGACAGAAACTGAGAGACCCTGGTGACTTCCGATCAACAACTCTTATTTATTGGGGAAACTGGTGACTGTACTTCTGCCCAGTTCATGTATTAATATAAGAACATACATGTCAAAGGAACCACAGATAGAACCTCTAACCCGCAGGGATTTGGACCAGGAGATTGCAGACACTCCAGGGTCTCCTCCCTGCTTGGCACTGTGCTGATGATCACTTGGATGGCACAGGTGTCAGTGAACTTTGTCCAAAATTAATAATCACAGTCAGCTATGAGACAGGAAAATCACTACATGGCGATCAGTGCTGGAGGTTCTTAGGCCCTATTCAAGGGGATTTTCCTTCGGGTCTCCTGAAACAGCTGACCCCCTCCTTCACCCATCCACGGACAAGGGCTCTGTGAGCTTCAGCTTCTTTGGCTGTCACTGAATGGACACCTAAAGCCACACAGCATTGCTTGAGAGAGCAATGGGCCAGTGTGACCCCCACCTCCTGCTGGCACACCTTGCCACAGAGGAGGAGGGAGAGAGCCCCAGCAGGCCCTGTGGCCCCTGTGTTTAGAGATCACACAAAGAGCCATTTGACACCATTCCACTAGGGTTTCAGTGCATTTTGAAAAGCTAGTTTTTAGGAACCCACACTGGGGGAGAGGGGCCTCCCTGAGCACCCCGTCCAGCCTGTGGCTTGGCCTGGCCCCACATACTCACGCAGAGATGAGCCCGGTGGCTCTCCCCCGTAAGTCTCGGTACTCCTGCCAGGACTCCATGTTGGCTCTCTGGGGCGCAGCCCCCTCCGCCCGGAGCACCTGAGCCACCATGTCTCGGTCTGCAATAGATACTACAAACTGAGGACCAAAGTGAGACTTGAAGATTTTTCCATATTCCCGTGCGTGCTTCTGCTGCAATGTCATGGAGAAATCAAAAAAGGAAAAAATACACAGATATGATATACCTTTAACATAAACATCCTTGTGTGTTAGAGGAACAGAAAATTGGGGTGGAGGGAAGCTCTATATTACACAGAACTGAACCAGAGTAGTAACTTTACATATTCCTGAGATAGACTTTCACATAAACATATTCATAGATGTCTTCTTATTCTTTACTGATGTGTTTTTACAACTACCTTAGCTGTGTAGAGCAACAAGAGAGACATGTCATTATGGATAGAGATGAACCCAGAGACAACCAGACCCCCATCTGCCAGCTTCTTTCCCAGAGCCCCAGAGGCTCTACATAAGCAGTGCCCAGCCTGCTGTGCAGAGAGCCCCCCGTGGGCAATCTGTAATGAGCCTCTAAAAATGGTCCCTTGCAAGACAATGAAGGAAAAGGCATCTGGATTGGAAAGGGAGAAATAAAACTATCTTTATTCACAGGTGACATGATCTTATCTGTAGAAAATCCTAAGGACTCCACTAAAAAACTATTATAACTAATAAACAAGTTCAGCAAGCTAGCAAGATACAAAATCGATTACAAAAAGTAGTTGTATTTCTATATACCAGCAATGAATAATCCAAAATGAAAGTAAGAAAATAATTCCATTTACAATAGCATCAAAAATAATAAAATGCTTAGGAATAAATTTAACAAATGAAGTGTAAAACTTATACTCTAAAAACTATAAAACATCCTTGGCCAGGCGCGGTGGCTCACGCCTGTAATCCTAGCACTCTGGGAGGCCGAGGCGGGTGGATTGTTTGAGCTCAGGAGTTCGAAACCAGCCTGAGCAAGAGCGAGACCCCGTCTCTACTAAAATTAAAAAGAAATTAATCGGACAACTAAAAACATATAGAAAAAATTAGCCGGGCATGGTGGCGCATGCCTGTAGTCCCAGCTACTTGGGAGGCTGAGGCAGAAGGATTGCTTGAGCCCAGGAATTTGAGGTTGCTGTGAGCTAGGCTGACGCCACGGCACTCACTCTAGCCTGGGCAAAAGAGTGAGACTCTGTCTCAAAAAAAAAAAAAAAAACTATAAAACATCCTTGAAAGTTAAGAAGTCCTAAATAAATGGCAAGACATCCCATGTTCATGGATTGGAAGACTTAATATTGTTGAGATAGAAATACTCCCCGAATTGATCTATAGATTCAGCACAATCCCTGTCAGAATTCCAGCTGGCTTCTTTGTAGAAATCAATAATATGATCCTAAAGTTCATATGAAAGGACCCAGAATACCCTAAACACTCTTGAAAAAGAAGAAAGTTGGAGGACTCACATTTTCCTCTTCTAAAATTTACTACCACGCTACAATAATCCAGACAAGGCATTCCTGGCATAATCACTGGAATAGAATTGGGAGTCCAGAACTAAATCCAAATATCTGTGGTCAATTGATTTTCAGCAAGAGTACCAAAGCCATTTGATGGGGAAAGAACAGTCTCTTAAACAAATGCTGCTGGGACAACTGGATAGCCACAGCAAAGAGTGAATTTATACCTTTTTCTCACATCACATGCAAAAATTATCTCAAAATAGATCAAATACCTAAATATACAAGCCAAAACTATAAAACTCTTAGAAGAAAACATTAGGGTAAATCATCACGCCCTGGGGGTTGGCACAATGTCTTAAGATACAACACCAAAAGCACAAGTAACAAAAGAAAAAATAAACAATTGGATTTCAAGATTTAAAACTTTTGTGCTTCAAAGGACACTGCAAGAAAGTGCAGACAACCCCTAGAATGGAAAAAATATTTTCAAGGCACACATCTAATAAGTGACTTGTACCTGGAATACTGGAATACATAAAATGCTCTTAAAACTCGATAGTAAAAACACAAATAACCCAATCAAAAACTGGGCACAGGATTTGAATAGACATTTCTCCAAAGAAGATATACAAATAGCTAATAAAGCATATGAAATGACGCTGAACATCATTAGTCATCAGGGAAATGCAAATCAAACACATGAGATAGCAATTCACACCCACTAGGATGGCTGTAATCAAAAGGACAGGTAATAACAAGTGTTGACAAGGATGTAGAAAATCGGAACTCTTTTACACTGCTGGTGGGAGTGTAAAATGGTGCAGACACTCTGGAAAACAGTCTGGCAGTTTCTCAAAATGTTAAATATAGAGTTACTATTTGAGCTAGCAGTTCTACTCCTCGCTGTATATCCAGGAGAAATGAAAATACATGTCTGCACAAAACGTTATACACAAATGTTCATAGCAGCATTATTCATAATAGGCAAAAGGTAGAAACAATCTAAATGTCTATCAACTGATGAATGGATAAGCAAAATGTGGTACATCCATACACTGGAATATTACTTATCCGTAATAAGGAATGAGGCACTGACACATGCTACAACATGGGTGAACCTTGACAACATTTCACCAAGTGAAAGAAATCCGTCACAAAAGACCACATATTACATTTATATGACATGTCCAGAATAGGCCAATCTACAGAGACAGACAGTAGCTCGGTGGGTGCCTAAGGCTGGGGGAATAGAAGAGTTGAGGGTGACAGTTAAAGGATACAGGTTTCTTTCTGCGGTCATGAAAACGTTCTAAAGTTGATTGCGGTGATGGTTGTATACCTCAAATGGGTGAATTGTAGGGTGTGTGAATTATATCTCAAAAAAGCTCTTAGAAGGAAGTAAGAAAGGGAGGGAGGGAGGAAGGAATTACAATAAATGTAAATGGACTAAACTATTCAGTTGAAACACAAAAAAGGGGCCTCCAACACGGCTCAGCATGACATAGCCAGGGCTGGGCTGGGAAAATTGACTAAGGCTCTCTTTGGCATCTGCCCACCTTTCTAAACACTCTAACTATCAATCTGAGAAACAGTAGGCCAGACAGACTATGCTCTCTCTACTCTTCTGCCCTCAGGTGGAAACTGCTCACTCCTTCTGGAGATCTGGGTGAGGTCCACCTGCCCTGAGGTGAAGACACCTCAGTTTCCAAGGGGTCACTTCTGCCTAACAAATAGGTGGCCCCAAGAGTCAGGAACTATGGGGAAATGGGACACTCCTCAGACAAACCCAGCTACGGATGGGTGCGATCAGCACAAGGGCACTGGCAGTGGAAATGATACAAATAGTTTACAGCACTTTCTGGTGGTGGACCGCAGGGCAATACAGTCAGTCATAGCACTGAGAGCTGCTGGGACACTGACAGACGTGGCTTACTAGCTGGATGACCTTGGGAAGTTTGGTCTCACTGCGTCTTGGTTTCCTCACCTGCAAAATAGGGAAATAATAGGACTTGCTTCACACGTAGGACTTGGAACTATGCCTGGCACATGAAGAGAGTTCTAGAAATGTTCATCGTTCTTATTTATTTATTATTACGTTTCATAAGCCTAATCTCATTTGACCTCACAATAACCCATGAGATGGATGGGGATTTCTAGTCTCCTTCACAGATGAGGAAACTGAGGTCTAGAGAGAATTACTGACGAGCCCAAGGCTCCACAGGTGGCTGCAGAGGGCTAGCACAGGAGGACAGGACCCCGGTACCTGGGATCCCACTGCTTCGACAGCCGGAAACAGTGGCTGGCAGCCCCCATTATAATGTCTAACCTGCCACTGACTAGCTGCATGACCTTGGGCAAGTCACTGAGCTAACATGTTGAGCCTTTTCTGTCTGAAAAACGAGCAGTGATCTGTATATGAGGTCTGTCCAGAAAGTATCCAGCCATGTAGTATCAAAAATGGAGACATTTATTGAAGAAGACACAAGAGACAAGAAACATTGTACATAAGACAATGACGTCTCCGTCCCCTTCAAAGTAGGAAGCGACCTCACACAGTTCTCCCAGCGTCTCTTTAACCGAACCCGCACACGTTCAGCATTCTTAGGTGTTCTGCTTGGTGCAGGCCTTCCAGAACGGGGGTCACTTTCAACAGATTCTCGACCACCTTCGAAGCGTTCGTGCCACACTTTTACTTGCGCTGCACTCATTGCATCGTCCCCGAAAGCCTTCGGAACCATCGAATCGTTTCCGCAGAGGAATGGTCAAGCTTAACACAACATTCGTTGCAGATTTGTTACTCTAGTGGCTCAGACACGTTGACTGTGACGGTCACACAGTACACATGCTGGCCTTGCGCCCGATGACTGGTTCACGCATGCGCACCGCAGTCCACTCGCCTTGGCTGCCAGGCTACACGGACGTCGTGCAAACCATGCCTGGATGCTTTGCGGACAGACCTGGACACACCTCTGGGTGAAAGGTCAAGACCCTGGCCGCGCTCCCTTCGGTGACTGCCAGGTGAGCGCAAGGGAACCAGTGTGATGGGTGGGGCCACAGTGCTCTTCCCCGCAGCGGCTTCCCAGCAGGGGGAGGGCGTCACCCGGCCACACCCGGTCCCGGGCACCGAGCTCGCCCGAAGGCTGGCAGAAGTATAGGTAACCTCGACACCACCAAGTAGCCACTGAGCGTCCTCAGAGGGAACGCAGGAAGATGAGAGTTCCCACAACCGCCACGCGAGGGTCGGGGTAGCGCCATCTGGAGGGCAGAGGAACAGGCGAGCCCGGAGAGAGGACAAAGCTGGGAACGCCGGTCCGGGTGCTGCGCGAAGGCACCGAGGGAAGTGAGTCACCGCGTGCCTGTGCCCCGCCCGGCCGCCCCAGGCCACGGGCGCGGTGGAGGAAGCCGGCCAAGCCCGGCGGGAGAGGCCGGGCGGGCGCAGGACGGGAAACACCGATCTGGGCTGAGACGCGTCCTCGTCGGACGCAGGCTAACGGGGGCCCGCTTCTCGAAGAAACTGTCCCCGTGGGGCCTGTGCTCCGGGCTTACGGTGCGAGGGTAAAAGCAGATGGAAGTAGGGGTGGATAAAAGAAAAATTAAATTTCAGAAATCAGGCTGTACTGAACTCATCGACAAGCAATTAACAAATATTTTCTACTGTATTTGAAAATTATCATCCTGACACCTTATGTTCAGACTCTACATAGAAAAGACAGAAAATCATGTTTGACCCATCGACGTGTCGGGAAAAGCTGTGCAGGGGTGGCGTGAGGGAGGAAGAGGGGCGGGCGGGGAATTCAGAGCAGGTAAAACGTTCCTCAAGCCCCCTTGTGCCCTTCCATTAGCGACGCAGGCGCCGAGGCCCTGGCGCCGGCGTGTCGACCGCAGGGGTGAGCGCGCCAGTGGGTGGCGGAAACCCGGGTGGGGCTGGAACGCGGCGCGGCCGAGGCGTGTCCCCAAGGACGGGTAAACTCCGGACAGAAGGACGCGGCGGCGCGAGAGGAGGGTGTTCTCGGAAGAGGCCACAGGGCCCGGGTCCCAGAACTGTGCGGGGCCGGAGCCGAGCGGCGCCGCGCTGACGCTGCAGGTGGACGGCCACCGCAGGGAAGGGCATAGCTCCAGGTGGGCCTGGGAAGGGCACGACTCAGGGTCGAGATGAGAAACGTGCAAAATCAGCCGGTCCCAACACCTTCCCCCCGCCAGGCTGTTGGAACGACCGGGCTCTCGCTGAGTCCCTGCCTGCGGTCCCGGCTCGGAACCTTCCTGCGTCCACCTCACGGCTTCGAGGTTACGGAACCCGAACCTCCGAACCACCGTTTTTCCGATTAAAAATGCAAACAAAAAGGATGAGAAACGAATGCAACACGATCTCGGCCACAGAAGGACACACAGTGCTGCTCGGCGCCTGGCGCTCTCGCCCCAGCTCCGCAGGTGCCGCCGGCGCCACCGCCTGCGGGAAATCTCCTCCCCGGACCTCTGCCCAGGTCCCCTCCCCGGCGTCCCATCCCTGGCCTCCCTCCCGGGCGCCCCCTGCGCGCCGCCCCTCGCCGGGTCCCCTCAGCGGGCAATCCCTGCCTGGGTTCCTTCCCCCGCACCCTCTTCTGGAGACTCCGCTCCAAGGCCCACTCCCCGGGGGCCCCCGCCCGCCGCCTCTCCCCGGCTGCCCCTCCCTAAAGTGCCATCTCTAGTTTCCCTCCGCAGGATGTCTCCCCGTCGGCCCTTCCCGGGGATCCCTCCCCGACGACACCTCCCCGGACACCCATTCCTGGCGCCTCTTCCCCGGCGTTCCTTTCCTGGGCCCCGGTCCTCAACTCCCCCTGCCCACCGCGCCTCCTTGGAGTCCCGTCCCTGGGGGCCCCCTCCCCACATCTCTCTCCCAGCCGCCCCCTCTCCGGGGTCCCCTTCCAGAGACCCCTCCCCAACAACCCCTGCCCTGCACCCCTTTCCCGCCTCCTCCTCCCCGGGTCGCCTTCCCGGGACCCCTCCCCAGTGCCCTCCCGCCCAAGCCGCCGGTGCCCGAGCGGCATCCCGGGCGGGCTCGCCGTCCCGGCCCGGCGCGCGCGGCTACCTGGATCTCGTGGATGCGGCTGAAGCCGTCCCTGCAGAAGAACTCCACCAGGTTGACGAGGGTGCGCGGCCCCGGCATGGCGGCGAGGCTGCGGGGCCCCTTCGCGCGGTGCCGGGCCCCTTTGTCCTCGGCCCGCGCCCCCGCCGGGAGCCGCGCGCCCTCGGGCTGGGGCCGCCGGGGGGCCCAGCCGCCCAGGAGCCCGCCCCGCGCGGGCGCCGGCCGCAGACGGGCTTGCAGGACCCGCGCCAGCAGAGCCATCGAGGCCTCCAGATTGGTTTGTTTGCTGAAGCAGTTTTTGTGGTTTCGGGGGCTGCCCTTCGGGGTTGCTCTTTCCTCCGGGTTAACTCCTTCGAGCGGCGCTTGCAACTCGCGCCGCCAGGGCGTCGGTTTACGCAGGCCAGTATTAAAGGTTCCCTCCCCTAAGGGCTGGGGAAAAGTCTGTGATTACACTGCAGGAGAATGAGGCTATTACCACTTTTTCTTCACATCAGATTAATTCATCCTTTAAGCGTTCCTTGAAACCACAGTTTCAAGGTCAACCCCACCTCCAACCATGGCCAAAGAAAGGGAAAAGTCTACTGGAATTTTAAAAATGATTTCCTTCCTTTAAAATTACTATTGAAGGTGTGCTAAAGAAATCTTATTGGTCTTTTCTGTATTTTAGAAACAATTCTTTATGACTTCAAGTTATACTATTGTAATTCAACATTCAAAAAGGAGAATAAAAATGTTAGATGCCTTTGCCCATAGTTCACAGTATTGTACTATGGCCACATTATTATTTTGCTACAGGATTTCGTAATGACAATGGGATTTCTGTGTTCGCTTTCACTGGGGCTCATCACTTGTATTCCAGCACACTGTTGGAAGTATGAGGGGTGAGTGATTTTGCTTTGAGCACGTGGCGTTTCTCCGGCCTCTCACGCGCCCTGGTCCTCTTGCACAATGCTTAAAGAAGTGAACCCACCTCCGCGCAGAGGGGAGGTAAGTTTGCCAGCACAGGTTCAGCACGCAGTGTCTAGCTGCAGGGAGGAGGTGGCCAGCAAAAGGAAGGCCTTGGCATGGGAAAAGCAAGAAGGGTGTCCTGTGGTTTCGAGGAAGGGAACCCACATTCTAAGTTAGCAGTTTAACAACTTAAACTCCCCAAACCAGGCACATTATTTAAAGACTTCATACAGTTGGTACTCGTGCATCATAAAAATTTTTTAAAAGTCCACAAACACAAAATATTGTTACTGAACGTATATGTTTAAGTTTTAAAGATGGGGTCTTACTATATTGCCCAGGCTGGACTTGGATTCCTAGGCTCAAGCAATCCTCCCACTTTAGTGTTAGGAAGGCCTCGACTCTCCCAATTTTCTAATAACAGTTAAAGATCAACCCTCTGCACTCTCTTTGCTCTCTTTGTCCGAAGCTAGCAGGCACCCTGCTGGGACTCTGTTTTCACAAACTTCAAAAAGAACTAAAAGAAAGGAAATGTACCTCTTTCTCTCCACGTTCACCAGTTCACAGCGTTCAGAATTTGTTTTTACAGCCTAAAGGTGTTCCTGAGAAACTCCCAGACCAGACATCTGGGGATAAACTCCAGGCCTTTGTTTCCTGCCCAAAACCGTATCTCAGGGGCAAAAATCACATCCCCTGGGATAGGCCTGACTACATTTCAGAGACAACCAAGTCTCCAGGAACAGAAGAAACAAGAAAGAGGGACAACCTGGTGTCTCCAGACTGCCTGCTAATTACTTCACAATAATTACTATTTTTCTCTTTGTCCCCATAAAAGCAGCAAACAATTTGGCCTGCTGCTGGCATCTCCCTTCTCTTTCTTTGGGATGCCATGCCGCTGTCTCCCTGCTCTTCCCCACCTTCTCTCTCTCTCATTCTCTCTGTCCTTCTAAAGGATAAAATAAATTTTACTTTTATATCTTAATCTCTGTATGAGAAACCTTTCTCCACCCTCACCCTGAACACCTAGCAGCCTTTCCACCCTAACACTTAGCCTCTTGAGAGCTGGGAGTATGGGCGTATGCCAAGCCCAGCTAAAGATATTTTACTTGCTTTTATTATTTTTTTTTTAAAGACAAGGTCTTGCTCTGTCACCCAGGCTGCAGTGCAATGGCACGATCATAGCTCACTGTAACCTGAACCCCTGGGAGTAAGCAATTCTCCCACTCAGCCTCCCCAGGAGTAGGACTACAGGCTGTATCATCACACCCAGCTAATTTTTTTATTAGTGTTTTATTTTTGGTTAGTAATTTATACCTTTACAACTCTGTTAAAGCTACATTGCATTTGATTAGTAAGTACTCACCAGCTCTTATTTACAAGGATCCAAAGAGTGAGACATTGAGCCTGCCTTTAAGGAGCTTATAACCTATTTGAAGAATAAGACAGGTCCACAAATACAAACCAGATTACTCTGTCTCAAAACTGGTACCGAATATGACTGGAATCTGTGCGCAGGAGCAATCCCATCCAGTTAGAGGGTCAGAAGAAGCAGGAGCAGAAAGGCCTCCTGAAGGAGGTGGCATTCAGGCAGGGACTGGGGACAGGACGCTCAGCAAGCAGGAGGGGGGCAGTGCGGCTGCAAGGTGAGATGATGAAGGCCGATAACCTTGCTCTAGGAGAGCCTCTCTGAAGTTTCGCAGAAGGTTACTGGTCCCACTGGTCCTCAGGAACAAAGAAGCCATTAAAGGACCACATATGTCAAAGTCAGTTCAGTCCGTTCTGGACAGGAAACTGGTAAACACAGACACATAACAATTTAAAATGCAGCTAGTTCTCTATTAAGGCTAATCAAGGAAAAGACTGCTGTAAAGAAAGGAAGGAAGAAGAGAAAAAAACCACAGAGAAACATAATGAGAAAGATTTAAACAGACCCGGAAGCAAGATTCCAAGGGCTCCCTTGCTCTGTCTTGGGATGTCATCTCTGGTATTTCCAAAGCGAGTTTTCATAATTAGAGGTATGAATAAAGATATCAGTTCTTGACATTTGTCTCAAGGTCTAATGACATTAAGCAGAAGACTATTTTAGAGTCTTGGTACATTGGTATAAATGATCGGTCTGAAATTCTGCAATAGAACAGTACAATGTTTTCTTATTACTGTTTTGTAGCTAATTAGTATTAGTGGAAAACATGTATAAACCCAGAAAGAGAAAGAATCATTCCGATTGGAAGAATTTCTTTTACTGTAACCAAAAAAAAAAAAAATTATATAGGCTGCCCGGCAAGTGCCCACCACTGTTACTGTAACAAGAACATAGTACGTGGCTGGATCCTTTCTGGACAGTCCTTGGACACACAAGTAACTTACTTTGGTTTCTGTCCAGGCTTTTTCTGATGAATATTGCCTTTTTAATTTAAAAAATTATTTAAAATAAAAGTAAATGATTCTCATAGTTGTCAATGGGAAAGAAACAAAAGATAGATTATTGTTAGAAGACTTAAACATAAGTAAAAATAACAGAAAAAATTTATTTTTCCAAAATAGGAAAATACTGTGCTTTAGTTTGTTCCTTTCTCCTCCAGTGAGCAAGAGAAACAGAGGTGAGATTCTGACGGGAGGGCACCATTTGTCCCCATCTGACCTTAAACCAGGAGATTTTGTACAGATGTTTTCCCTCAAGAAAACCAGCTTGTTGGCAGTAGGTAGGGAAGCAATGCGCTGCCCTTCCCCAACAACAACAAAAAGAAATAAAGTTGCGACTAAAAGTTAAATGAGGCCGGCCCAGTGGCTCACGCCTGTAACCCTAGCTCTCTGGGAGGCAGAGGAGGGTGGATTGCTCAAAGTCAGGAGTTTGAGACCAGCCTGAGCAAGAGCGAGACCCCGTCTCTACTAAAAATAGAAAGAAATGATCTGGACAACTAAAAATATATAGAAAAGATTAGCCGGGCATGGTGGCACATGCCTGTAGTCCCAGCTACTCGGGAGGCTGAGGCAGGAGGATCGCTTGAGCCCAGGAGTTTGAGGTTGCTGTGAGCTAGGATGACGCCACGGCACTCTAGTCAGGGCAGCAGAGCCAGACTCTGTCTCAAAAAAAAAAGTTAAATGAATAAACTCTACACATAATAAACAACTGTCTGTGGAGGTAAAACCAAGAGATAGTCTTTACCACGTCCCGGAAGTCCAGTCCAGGAGACCCCGAATAAAGCCCTGGGATGCAGCGGGGCAGTGTGGCGCTGGTCGGTAGGCAAAGCTTAGCGAACGATGTAAATTCTTGCAGCAGGACAGGGATGATCAAACTGGTCCTCAGAAGAGGGAACTACTGTATAGACATTCTAGGAAGCAAGGCTTTGGCTTCGGAAACCCAGACCTGCCGGTCATGGTGGGACAAGAATGATCTAGCAACCTTCCCTGTGGTCTTGGAGAAAGTCTCTCCCCCACACCAGCTTCCTGTGCTCCGATTTCATGCGACTGCGTGGTTTCAGTTTAAGAACTAATGGTGTAAAAAAGCAAAAGAATTAATGGTATGATCTCGTTACTTCCCCAGACCCATGAACAAAAAGGTGAAACATAAAGCAAACAAAGCACAGTTATGGCAGAAGGCAAAACTCAGAGACCTCAAGCCACCTTTCCTGGGAAGCAGGTGGAGCTACGTGAGCCACGCTGACACCAGCCACAGCAGTCCTGGTTAGTTGAGGCAGAAAATGAATATACTTCTTCCCACAAAGGAGCGTGGGCATTGTCCCGTGGGATTCGTCAGCCAGCAAAGCCTTAGAAGCAATTATTAAGCTGCCAAAAAAGCTCTAACTTTCCATGATGAAAAAACTATCATTTCCACTGAACAGCTTCGTAAAAGATTGGTCTGCACTTTAATAAACACTGTTGCGCATCAGGCGTTATCCCGGGCACCTGTAATCCATGTAGTCCTCACTGCTGCCCTATGACGTGGGCGCATAACCTTTGTTTCATAGATGAGCAAACAAGCTAAAGAGACTCCCTCAAAAAAGTTAAATTCGTAGGAGCAAAGTTAACAAACGAATCCAAAACTGCTTCCAAGTTGTATATACTGTTCGCCGCACTGGCTTTGCATCCAGGTGAAGAGAATTCCAGGTAGGCCGTGCATAGGGCACGGTGCGTCATAG